ATAGAAAAATTAGTTATTTACAAGGCAAATCTACCTCTTCAGAAGAGCATCCCTTTCATGCTAGTTTTAATCCTAAAGCATTCTACAAACTTTCAAAGAATGACACACAAGCATTCACTCCCCAAAGCCTATATTAAACTCTGGATGGACTAATACAGCTTATATTTACAAACAGCTGTAAATTCACAACAGCCTTATTTCTAATTCGTGCTCTCACTCACACTGCTCATGATGTTAGAGGCTGACAACTTAGTACATGTTTACTAAATATCATTATTCTTAGTTTCTTATGGTAGGCAGAACTAGGAAATCCATTGGAAATCAACATTACAGCTTTACAAGCATCAAGTCAGTACTGCTGTACTGCTTAAAGAGAGTAGGTTCAATTATTCCTGCTTTGTGTTGCCACTTGTAAAAAAATCCAGCTCCAGAAATAGCTAAGTACATAAGAATGGTAGCTCCAAGCCACCCATCATGTGAGTGCAATGTACATAAACCAGCCCTTTCAGCATCAGCAGCAGCCAGTAGGACAACATGAAAACCAGCTAGGCCAGATACAAACCAGCCAGGTGGCAACCTGACTTCCATTCACACTCTGATTGCATTTTCTCTTAGCCTTAGACTTGGCAGATGAGTAACACCTTCTGTTCTGTTGTCATATTCTTATGAAGTGAGAAACATGTCTCAACTTTGCAAAAAGTCATTGCTCACTGTAATGCTAACACAGCACAAGAGCAATCTTCTTTCCTCTGCAAGTGGAACAGTGTAAGTTCAAGCAGCAGGATATCATCTTATGGTGATTATGTGCTATGTAATTTAGACGTACGTGCAACAATACATAGGGCAAGTGTGCAAATGTACACTACCACGCCAAATAAGGGAATGTTTATGAATTTTTCTCACCCTGCAGAGAAATGTAGTCTCAATTCTATTGTTGAGTGCACCATTTTATGTACAGAAACAAGCGTAACTTTCAAAAAGATACTCAGGAGATTTCTGCTATTGCAAAAAATAAGGAGGTATATAGTAATAATGTGCTTTTGGAACAGTAATGAATAGTAAATGAGAATTATTAAGAGTTTAGTTTCATTTGACCATGTTACTCCAGAGAAGCCAGACCTTCCAAAAGGATTCTGGAGGAGGGGAAAGGAAGGTGTCAAGAGTAGGGCAAAACCACATTTTTTCTCTCTGTTGAAAATGTGGATTTATTTTGTAAACTGTGACAGCCTGTTAGCAAAAGGAGCTCTGGGAATATGAAAATACCGTCCTTCAGTCTGCTCCCTTATTTTTCTTTACTCTGTGAGTTAAAAATACATATGTACATATAAACCATCAGGCATATAGTATTTATCACTCATTAAACATTTTCTGGACCAGGCTTTTCATGTGTATGCCTTGAAAACTGGAAATACCTTGGGCTTCCTTGTTGAATTTGGAACATTTTTTCAATAAAGTTTGTTATTGTTGTTGTTTTTTAATAATGCATTTGATTTCTTTTCCAAAGGTTGCTCTTCTGGAGACCATCATATATGAAAACAGCTGAATAACAAAGGCTTGTGTTAGAAAAGAGATGAATTATTCTGGCAGTATACATGCTGAATGACGTATCACATGATTCCAGCTGTGTGTTGCAGTTGGTTGTTCATAAGTAGAAGGAATGACTCAGCAAGAAACAATGAATTTATAATCAAAAGTGGTTATATTGCAGTTATCAGTAACTGTACAGTATGTAAGTCTAGTTCAGAATTTTTTTTTCAGGTGGGGAATTAGCTCAAATGGTAGAGCGCTCGCTTAGCATGCGAGAGGTAGCGGGATCGATGCCCGCATTCTCCAGCGTTTGTTTTCACCCTTTATTCATTGTGAAATAAGCAGTGAAAATGTTTCCCATTTGTGCCATTATACGAAAAAGAATAAATGTGAAAAAGTTGGGTGAACTGCAAACTGTTCATATTTTGCTTTCAGTATTTTGTTTTTTTTGCTATTCCTAATGGTGTGGCTTTCTTTTGTATATGAGGGGAAATATAATCCTTATATGAAATAACAAAACTGACATTTTAATACAGTGGTAAACAACATGAACAAATTACAGAGAAAAATAAATTAGGGATTTTTAATGTACCTTGATAACTTTGATTCATGATTTCATTATGTATTTGATGACTGAATTATTAAATTTATTTTTTATATTACAATTTAGTGTATCAAACAAAGCTGGTGTTTGTGTTGTGAGGAATACTCTTTTTTGTTGTTGTTGTGTAAGCTTAAGCTATTCATTAGAAAGAATGAGCTACAGTCTTCCATATGTTGTTTCTCTTTGCAAGATTATGTTCTTTCCTTTTGAAGCTTCACATCTGTGCAATATCATGGAAATTTTCTCTGTAAAACTGTGCTGTACATCTTATGTCATTTTGAGATATTTATAATTCTGATGTGATTTTCTGACTCACTGATTCAGCTATTTCACTGCTGGTACTCCAAGCTTGAGGCAGCGTGAGGAACCACAGGAAAACTTTCCTGTAAATATAGACAATCTGTGCAATCAGAATCTTGGAAGGACGCATACTGAAATGAATGAAAATAAGGAAACGAAATTATGAATTGGGTTTCAATCTAAGGAAGGGGCAAATACTGTGTTGCATGGATGTTCAGGAGACAAGAAAGAACATAACCTCTCGATGGATGGAATAGAAACAGAATTTGCTTATTTGTCTTATATTCTCTACATGGTGGAGTGAAAAGACGCATTGTAACTTTAAAACTGCTAGATCATTGTGGTTCAAATGAGGTTCAGTGGAGAGAAAAGAGTTATGATCTTCAGGAGTCCATTCTGAGGTCAGGTAATGATTTACACATACATTTGCTTGGAATAAGATACTGTAGTAGTTTTCTGTATGATTATTATTGGTTCCGAGTTTGCTGTGTTCCCATGACTGTGTAATGCCTGATGCTTCCTCTGCCTTTAAGGATGAATAATGTTGCTCTTCTCTGCTAATCAGACACAACTTGTGCAACAATGAAATGAGAAAACTCAGTGAGGCAGGTGCAGTCTGCAGTCACTTGTAGAATGGTGGCATCCAACTGTAAATTCTCCAGATTAATTACTGCTCATTATATTTATGTACAGATCCCTATAATGGAGCACTGGTGTTTGTTAGAGCTTTAAAAGCACTGCAATATGACTATAAGTAACAGCTTTTTCTTAGCCCATGTGGTGTTCTATGTCTTTACTTTTTAGATACATTGTCTTTAGAAGAGCAGGTTGGATAGAGAAGGTTAAGGGTCCTAGCTCCCCAAAACACTACTTGTGGGAGTATTTGCACTTTCTGCTTCAGCAGTTTTATTTATATATTCTGTGTAAAGAAATGAGGGAATTGAGCTTTGTTTGATTTGTGTTTTTATTGCCATTCATACAGATTTATGTCCTCTATAATATGTCACTTAAAGTTATACAAGTTAATCATTCATTCAGTTAAAAATAATGTTTGCAGTAGACCTGCTCTAAGATACAGTTATCATATGTCTGTGATTGCTGCAGACTGAGAAAAGGGGAAATATTATTCTTTATTTGTCTTCTCCCAAGATCTTGTTCCAAATATTACTTAAGCAGTCATCCCTGGGGTGGGATGGAGCCTGGAGGACCATTACTCTGCAATTCTGGAGAATATTTTTAGAGCAAGAGAGCTGACTGCAGAAGCTACATGCAAAAATATACATGGTATAAATAAGTTCATTTTACAACATGATTGTAGTTAATTAATTATATTTATAATATTTATATATATATAAATATATATATATACTTATATTTATATATGTAATTAATTAATAGTAATTAATTTTCTGAGTTGAGCACCCACGTCTAAGTTTTCTTATAAGATACGTTATGTGGTGTTTGACCATGAAGTTTATAAAAGGCTTTTGTTCTAATGGTTACTATTAGCCATCAATCAAGTTCTAAGCATAGAATCATAGAATCATTTGAGTTGGAAGGGACCTTTAAAGGCCATCTAGTACAACTCCCCTGCAATGAACAGAGATATCTGCAGGTAGATCAGGTTGCTAAGGTTAGTTCAGTCTGATCTTGAATGTCTCCAAGAATGGGGCATCCATCCTGCATGAGTTGAAGTTGTATTTCAAAAAGGAGCTCTTTTTTTTTGAGGATAAGTGACTTCACTGCTATCTGTAAATGCTCGATAGCTTGGGGAAAAAAAAGGAACTTCATATACATTTGAATTTGTTCAGTTCTTCTAGTTATCAGGCTTTTTTTTTTTTAAATTTAATGCTGCAAAAATAAAATAATACATTTTATCCCAATAAACTTAGGTCAACATTCAAAGAGTGAAATGAGTCACTCAGCATAAGGGTGCATTTCTCTGCTGGCAAACTTATGCCATTTCTTCCTCCTGCGACCTGTTTTTTCTTTATTTCCTGCAGTTGCAATTAGCATTGAAATTATTTGTTGCCAGTAACCACGTGCCCTACATCAAGTCAGCAGGTATAGATGGACAGTGGAGTCCTGTGTGTGCTTCCAGAGTTACAGAGAGCAAGTTGCTTGGGATTGGTAGGCTTGCTGTCCCCATTGGCATCACGTACTGACTGTTAGCATAGGATCACCTGAAAAAGTAAATCCTTCAGAAAAACAAACGGGCTGAGTCTTGATCAGAAAAACAAGGAGAAGGACAGTTCACATTGCATTTTCTTCCATTCCAGGCCATGGTATTTTCTAGTGATGCTATAATAAAGGAGTAAAATCTTTAACTACTGTGACTGTGTGTGTGTGTGTGTGTGTTCATACTGTTGGCTGTCTTTTGAAATCTCACTTCTAATTCTGTCACCGTAAGCACCGAAAACGCTGCAGCCCACCTCCTTCTCAGGGACCTCCTCCCTGCACCGCCACACCTCTCACCCCACCCCCCCCTATATTTGCCCGCTCTCCTGCCCGCCCCTCGGAGCGGCCGGTCGCCGTGCAGGAAGTGACGTAGTGCGTCTGGCGGAAGTGACGCGTGTGGCGTGCAGGCCCGGCCCGGCGCGGGGGGGTTTGGACAAGATGGCTGGCTCCACAGGTCTGTGAGGGGGCTCGGCGGGCCTGGGGTTGCTGCGGGGAGCTGGGTGTTGTGCCCGGGGGTGGGTACTCCCTATGAGGGCTGGACAGATCTCCTTTTTCGGGGACGGGGCGAGCTGTTAGTGACGGGAGAGAGTGGAGCGGGGTGGGGTGGAGGTATCTTCCGATGGGGAGAAAGGGAAGCGGCAGCACCGCCGGGCTGGGCTCGGCCCCGGGGACGGTCACTCCCGTCTGTAGGGCTGCGACGCCGCCGTGAGAACCTGACCTGGGGCGTCAGTGGGGAGAGAAAGTACCGCGTTTCTGGGAATCGGTGTAGTGGGGTGGAGAAGACTGTGCTAAGAGGCAGGAAAGGGTGGATGTGTGTGCGTGTAGAGAATGGAGGGGATGTTGCCAGCCCTGATAAAAAAAATAAATAAATTAAAAAAATGCTGCAGAATAAGGGCTTGTAGCAAGGATCTGTACTGTTGCACCATCTGCTGTGTACAGCAATTGTGATATAGCATCTTTCCAAAGTGAAGGTGGTGTCTTTTTGCTCTTTTTGCGAGGGGACAGAGGTCCGGCCTGTGTTGTGCATTGGAGGAAAAGTACTGCAGTTGATTGGTGACTGCAGTGTGCTGGGGATAAGGAGTGAAGCATCTTGTTCTCTTCCAGTGAGCAGCTAGTTTATCATGTGGGCAAATGGAAAGGCAAAGAGCTGTGAGGTGTAACTTGGAAGCATGAGAGAATGAATCCTGTATCAGTAATCAGTATAGAATCTGTTGAGTGGAATGTCATGGTAGCAGGTGATAAATTAGTAGACAAGAATATTTCTTCAAGTCATGAATGGAAAAATTTAAGAAGCATAGGTATGCTATCCCAATTTTGTTTCATGTAGGCCTTGAAAAATAAAGCCTTTTTCAGCTATAAAAAGCGGAGAGTTACAGGGCCTCTTTCACTCTTTTCTCACTCCTGAGAGCTTATAAGACGTAAATGGGATTGACAGAGCTCAGAACAGAGGAATAAATTGACCTCAGTGCTCACTCTAGGGTGCATATTGGCCAGGTTGATTCATTTCTGTTCCCAAACCACTGGCTCATCAAAGGATTGAGACTAATAAAGCAGGGATTAAAAAAAAAAAAAAAAAAAAAAAAAAGTCTTATTTTGGTACCTTACTGTTGATTCTGCAAGGAGAGTGTTTTTTATGGTAGGAGAACATTCTCTATACTTGGTAAGTGACTTTGGAGATGTGGGATGCACAGAGTCCAATTTGGAAAGATTACAACAAATTGGACGTAGAGCAGCTCTTGCAAGTCCAAAAAACAGTCCAAAAAAGAAATATTATTGCCTATGTTAGGCTGAGCTGGAATAGATACATTAGAGATCAGTATTTAGTCAGCTATGGATTACTGCATTTTATTTTTTTAATCTGAATTAGCATAATACTTGATGTCAAAGTTCAAAAAAAAATTATTAATCATTTTACTATGAAATAACTTCCAAAGACTTCTGCTTGTGTCTGGGCTCTGACATGGGATTTCCTGGTATGCACAGGAAATAAAACTGTTTTAGGGCTTGTGCTTTGAGTATTGGCATTTTGCATATCAGTATGTTCAGTCTGGCTATTGTAGAGTATCTGCTACTAAAAATTTGTATATCAAAAAAAGCTGTTTTTTTCCTACAGTGTATTTGACTACATAAAAAGCAATAATTTTTACACAAAATTTCCATGGTTTTATGGTTATAAATGTCCTTTATAGTCTTACATGTGATATCTTAGAAGCTTCCATATACTTTGTATAGTGCAACTGAATAGTGCAGTAGTTTTTGTGTCAGAAATAACAGCCACACGTAAAGTTCCCAAAAAGTGGAAAATGTACAGAATTGTACATGCGTCTGTCCCAAACAGCAAAGTCATTTTAGTACAACGAAGCAAACCCTCTTTAACAGAACTGCTAGGAATATTTAGTCATAGCTTCTGGAGGAAAATGCTGATTGCAGTGGGGAAAATGCTTTTGGCTTTGCATTTGCATATGCACAGATTGGAGATAGGATTTTTTTGTTGTTGTTGTGGTGCTTTCCATATAGTAGGTAGAAATTTTAAGATTTCACACAGGCCAACTCTTAGCATGAAGCTATGTTAAGCTCATTTACGGAACAAAGGAGGGAGTGATTTGGTATAAACATGAGATTTATCTCTACCTGTGTGAATTTCATCTGCTCTTGCTGTAATGTTCAGCTTCATCCTTATTTATTTCAGAAAAATGAGTGTTTTGGTTGCGTGAAATCCAGTAATGAAATTGTAACACCAAGGAAAACCAACAAAACTTACTAAGGTCAACCGTCTCAGTTTTATTCCAGAAATTCCTTTAATGAGATCGCTAATTCTTTGAACAGTCATTTAAAAAATAATAATAAAAATGCCTTTTAAGAACAAACAATCTAATTTGAAAATAGCTTTTCTTTAGTGTGTGCTGAAGAAAATGTGTATGTTAGACATTTCGCATCTATACAGTGCTTACTTCCTTTTAGAAATCATCTATGTTAACTAACTTTGCAAGTAAATATTTAATGTCTCAGTGGCTGACATTCCTCAGATAATTTTGATTAATCCCGCAGTATGACAGCTGCAGCTTGTAGCTGGACCTGAGGTGTTTGTATGGGTACTGCTGGGGAAAAAGGGAAGAACAAATCAATTTATTTTTTTTTTATTTTTCAAAATCAAGAACAACTGTTGTTGATATGATGTACCAATTCCAAGTGGTTTAGCTGAAGATTCATTTTGTGATGTTTTGAAAACGTAGAGCACAAGATGTGACTGAACATAGCTTCAGGTTAAAAAAAATAATTCAGCAAAGCATGCCATTTAAAATCTCATATGCAGCTCTAGAAGAAGGAACTGATCAGCAACATAATTTGAAGGAGTTAATTCAGGAGCTAATTTTTGCACTTCAAGACAATATCAAGACTGCAGTGTCTAAAACTGGATTGCTGAAGTCTTCCATCTCCTTGCTATTAGACTGAGGATATAAAGTAGCTTGTATTAGAATAAGACTAAGTCAGTGAAAACTCCCTTTGGTTTGCTGAAATCTGTCTTAGGTTAAAAATATACATACATAGAATCAGCTGATCTATGGTCAGAAATTATAGGTGAGGTTCGCAATTTTTTTCTTACATGTAGGCACAAACAACCTCTTTGCAAAGTGTGCTAAATGGCTTCAGAAAAGCACTGCTAGATCCTGAAGAAATGTTGTTTCTATAAAATCCACACTTCTCATTTGTACTCACTTAATAGTCTCATCTTTAAAGGTGAATTGGCTACTTTGTGTGACTGGTGTTACCTGTGTGAGGCTAATTTTTCTTTCTGAATGTATATGATTGATTCTGATTAGAAATGACACCGTGCTCAATGTCAGTGCCTTGTTTTCTTAAGTTTGGTGTTTACTTCTGTCTAAACTTTTGGATCTGGTTAAAGCAAGTCTACATGTATGTGAGCGCAGCTGTAAGGAACCTGATGCTGAAAATGAAGGGCTGGAAATGGTCTGACTCTCCAGGCTGTAAGGCAAGGACTGGCGATAGATTTATTGGTGATTGGGTGGTTTGTGTGTGGTGTTTTTGTTCCGTTTGTAAAGCTATTTTCCCTAAAAATCTTCCATTAAAATGATTCCGTAATGTGGGGTAATTTCTCAGCGCTTTCCTTTATATTTTTTACAATTCTCTGGTCAAGATCAAGCTGATGTCTGCCTGTTCTGTGCTTAGCAGGATAGACATCAGTGAACTATCATAGCTTGTTTGGAGACTGCTAGATATTATGAGCCCTTTAAAGGAATAATAAATTAATTTATTCATTAGTGGGATGTTGAAGTAATGTTTTGAAGACTTCTTTTTTTTTTTTTTTTTCATATGAGAAATGGTACAATTTAAGCTTTGTATCTAGAAAACTTGTGTATTAAACTTGACCTGGCTGGGTTTCTACTTTCCTTTGAACTATTTGGATACCCATTTCCTTCCTCTTCCTTATGGGAGAAATAGTTCTCCTAATGTGTTTCACCTTCAAGGCTTTATTACTCCTCTTTCCTTTCTGTATTATACCTCTGTGACATTATTAATCACTTACCCTGGATTTATTCAAGAAGCCACTTAATAGCAGTTCAGAATTTTACAGTCCTCATAAATGTTCTTGCATTTTCCATGTAGTTGTATAAAGCAGAGAACTCTTGAAGCTGTAAGTAATCAGAGAAAACAAAAGGAATAGAATGCTGTGTTCTGTGTGGCAGCGCTCTCTGTGTGGGGCGTTTTTCCATCCTGTCCTATGCACAAGGAAACTGGAATTGTTCTGCCTGCTTTAAAGCGACGTGGCAAGCCTCAAATTAATTTGCATGTGCTTCAGCTGGATTGAAAAGTATCTTGCTTACAAACGGCTTCTGAACTATATATAGACCATCAGTACTTTCTGACTGTGACGTACATAGGCAGGACATTCGGTATCTTCTCAGAACTTTGCCCTTACCATATTCCTCTCTTTGTTGCTGGTATTTTGCAGTTTGGTCTTTAAATGTAAGCTCCGACATACATCCACAGTGGCTATGTAAGAATATGCTCGGTGGCTAAGCACCTTCCTTAAAGCAGGCCACTTATTTAAGAATTTGTTTGAAATTCAAGGGTGTTACCAAGCTTAGTATGGAAGCCTATTACTTAAATTGTTGCATACAATCCTAGATAATATTAGCCTGGGTGAAGAGACAAGCCACACCATTTCAGGAATGGAATAGCTGTCTTTCAGTATTTGGAGACAGATTGGTTATATTATAAATTTCAGGCTTCTCACATGAGAAAGCTTCTAATGTGTGGGAACAGAATTGCCAAACCTCATGAGTAATCAGTGGAGTTGAGGTACATATACACATTCATTACTTTGTGTGTTTTGCCTTTCTGAAGATTTTTCCTAAAGCAACAGAAGTACGTGCTGTGAAACTGTTCAACTGTTGACAGACTCTTCCTCCTGTTTCTCCAGCTACTCTTGCGTGTGTTTTCCTAGACAATAGCTTTACTTCATCCTAACCAAAACTTGATCTCAAGTAGCAAATCAGCTTCAGCTCTCATGTCGCTTAGGTTTTGTTGCCTTGCTGTCTCAGCTAGCTGGTGGGAACCTCAGCATGGGTTGTGTAAAGACAAGATGCTGCTAGAGGAGGCATTCATAGCCGTTTTAATTTGCACTCAGAAGGGTTTTGCTATATGCTGCTTTGCCCAAAAGAATGTTTTTCTTTGACATTTGGAAGGCACTAATGAGATGTAATGCGAACAATATTTTGAATAAAATCAGTACATCGCTACAAAAGCTTGAGATTGTCAAGCTGTCAGGCTGGTTCTGAATTAGATGAGCTTTCACTTTACAACCTTTTCAAGTAGGTCTGGTGCCTCAGGTACGTGACTGAAGATCACTTGTAGTTAGCGTTTGGAAACAAATGGAACCTTCAGTGGAAACCTGAGACCTCAGAGCTCTACATTAATCCTTTATTTCAGAAGAATCAGTAGCTTCAACTGAATGGGGGGGGGGGGAAGTCAGGAAAATAGCTTCTAACACTTAGGCTCAGTAACTGCTTAAAAAAAGTCACCTCCTTTCATTGCATCTGTTCATAAGTGGATAGCTAAGTGAATTTGAAATGTGCTTGAGTAAATAATAAGCATTTTCTGCAGTTCATGTAAAAACAGTGTGCTTTATTCAGGCCATCACTATAGTCTTAGTGAAGTGTCCAGTGTTACTCATCTTACTTACAACTTTTTTTCAAGGTAAAAAGTGTATGTATTTTCTCCCTGAAATTGAACATATTGTCATGAAAATATAAAGTAATTTGAACCTTTGAAACCTGGAGTGTAGAAAATAGCAGACTGAAACACGATTATCACAAAGTTAAAATAAGAATTTGGTGACAGTTCTCACTACTAAATACGTGGTGAATGGAACGTTTCCTGATTCTGTCCTGAGGTGTACAACTGACAAAATAATCCCCGATCAGACTGTTTTCCATAGATAAAAGATCTTTATGTTGTGTGCTCTGAGTGCTGAGTCATGTTGCAAAGGACCTTTATGCAGGTCTTAGGAAAAGTGTTTGCTAATCAATGACTTATAACCTGTTTTAGCCAGCTTTACAGCTTTGCTAAACTAAATCCTTGCTGCTGCTCTTGTTATCTGGGTCACACATTGTATTCCTGCTATTAAAGCAGACCCTGTGAAAGTCATTTCATGGTAAGAGATTTTGGCCTCTGCTGGGTTCTTCTAGTCTGCAACGATTTTTATGCCATCTTTCCTTGAAAAGATAGCTGTAAAAGTATGTATTTGAAATCCTTTTTCCCCTCTGCTGACGTAAGCTTAGCTTTACGATGAAAGTTTGAAAAATTGAGCCTCTTTGCTGTTGTAACTCTAATTTAGTCTTTTGTACCTTTATATAGCTTAACATTTTGAATAGTGAGCTTACTTGTACTAAGCAGGGGTGTTTTTTAATTAACTTATTTATTATTTGAACTTCTGAAGAGAGAAATGGGGAACATTTCTTTGATAAAATCTTCATCCCACAGACTAAATAATCAGGAATTAATATTGCTGGTGGGTTTTAAAGTGATGAGTATTGTTTTAAACACTCTTTTCTAGCCTCCTGTCATGGGTTGTTTGGTACAAAATTGGAATAGCAATAAAATCTTTAATTTGATCAGCATCACAGTGTCTCATTTTTCATAATCTTACCACGTCACATGCTAAAACCTGTGGGACCCTGCACATAGCAGGGGGATTGAAACTAGATGATCATTATGGTCCTTTTCAACTCAGGCCATTCTATGATAATTGAATCATTGCATTTCACTCAGTAGTTGCCTCTCCAGAGTTAATTTTTAAATCCTAAGTGACCTATGGTTTTCCACCTTTGTCCAAAACACACCTGACTGTGGCAGTAGGTGAGCTCCTGCAGTAACATAACTGTTTTATTCTGGTATGCTTTTGTTACAGTTAGGCACAAGTGGACATGCAGTGTTGGATGCAACAAAGCTCTGAGTTCACAGTGGTGTTTTTTAGCACAGAAAGTTGCATTTAGGTATCTTCTAAATTGATAGATTTATACCACTGATGTTGATGCAAATTTGTAAAATAGATGACTGTTAAGCAGTTTACATCAGTTTCTATGTAGGACTGCAATCTAGTCAAGTGTATTCTAATTTTCTATTGTTGTAATAACTTTTTTTTTGAGATATTTTAATCAGTTAAAACCTGTGGTGTGAGATCTTCTCGAGGTTTGGGGTTATTTATTTATGCACCAAAGAGCTTGTTTGTGCCCAGTTCTGTAGTCTGAAAGTAAATGTATGTGAAGTGGAACAATCCTCTTCATCAGTGCATTTTTGTGGACAGTATTAGCAATTGCATGCCAGCAACTGTATTCATGGTGGTCATAGCTGTATAAAAATGCAAAGATAGGCTGAAACAAGCTCTTAACGGTTGCTACAACCGTGCTAACAAAGTTGAGTTGTGTTAGAATTTCTCTCAAATCTGGACTATATTCTGAGTGTGAGTGTATCTAGCCTTACCTATTTGTGTGTTCCTGCTTGCTGATGTATGTGTGATCACTCTTAGCCTTGCACAACTTTAAGAAATTCAGGGTATGGTTGCTTTGTAAAACGATCAGGACACTGAAGTTCATTCTGAAGTTAGACCCCAAGGAAATGGGGAATAGAGGTTTCATTGAGGAGTGAACCCTGATAAAGTGAAATAGTGCAGAATGGGAAAACTTACTGGGATTACTGAGAAATGACTTCTCACCAGATGCTGGTCAGAGGTGAAGCGTCTGTGATGAATCAGGCAGCTGATGGCTGCCTTGCCTCTCTCTTGCCTGCAGCTCTTCTGAGAAAGGTGAGTAAGGAGGAGGGGGTGGCTGGGAGGAGTAGAGAACTGTAGAAGTCAATAAAAACTAAACAGGTAATATTTTCCTGGTGGATGGTGACCGTCACAGTAAGAGTCCTGACCTTGAAGCTGCTTTGAGTAAGTTATCAGGTGAGTTACTGAACAGAATCAGTAGAATTCAAAATTATCAGGAGTAGATAGCTCACTTCTGGTTACCTGAGAGGCAGGCTAAGAAAAGAGGAGAGGACACCGGAGGAGAAGATGCGTTGGTAATGGAGATGTGTGTTCTGCTAGTGATTTCTCACACTTCAAACCATAATCAATAAAACCTAAAATTGTACAGACTTTTTGTTACATATTTACACATTTGCAATGCTCACTATGCCGGAGAAGTCAGGTCCAAGGCCTCATCATTCTTACTGTGAAACCAGTAGCAACTGAAACATACTGAATAAATGATGCTGCTTCTGTAGTTCAATGTGCTGAGATTTCTTATTCCAGCATCAAGATTTCTGGTTAATCAGATATGTTTATGAAGTCCCAAAAACTAATGTAAAACTTACTTCCTTCCCTCTCAACTCCCATGTTAAGTAAACTTCATTAATGTTCGTATATTGAAAGCTTTGTTATGATTTTTCTGATGTCTAAATACACTTCCTACTGCTTTTTTAATGGAATATGAACTGGGTCCTGGTAAAGTGAACTCATGTTACCACCTCTCCTTTCTTGTGAGGCTGTCCATCACTGTTCTTGGTGTATACTATATTCTGGATTTTTGAGTGCAGCTGGGATAATGCATGTAAAAGGTAAATAAGAGGTTGGATTCTGACAGATGCGAGGTGGGCTCAGCCTTGGAAGTGGGAGTGAATGGCTGTACTTCTGAGTTACCTTCTCTCTCTTAGTAGTCTGCCTGCCCCATAACAAGCAAGTATAAAGTAAGTTCTGTTTTACTTTGAAGACCTGTTTTGCTGCGTCTTGCAACTGATGCCAAAGCATGAGCTGGAGTTCAATGGTATTCAATGCCAATTTTAACACAGTCCAACTAGAATCACTACCAAAACAAAAAAACACAAATAGGTGAACATACCTACTTGGTTCTGTTTAGAATTTATCATTTTTTATCATTACTGTTAGCAGATAATTAATAATGTTATGGAACTGAAAGGGGAAAATTCTGCTTTTATACATCTATCATCAGTGAAATGACTCTTTATTTCTAAACACCAGGGTCTGTGCATCACATGAAAGACATAAATATGCCTGTGCCCTTCTAGACCCTTTTGCCCACGGCCCAGATATGAGTGCTTTGTTGCAATAAATGGCTGAGGCTTCTGTTGTACAAACATGATTTCTCATTACCTGCCTTCTTACTGTTAACTTCCCAGAGAATCACTATAGCTTTGTGGAAAAAAAGAAATTCTTGTGCAACTTTAGTTTGTGTCTGTTAAGACACCAACAATGTAAAATTTCATAGAATAGAATCATAGGATTCTTAGAGTTGGAAGGGACCTTTGAAGGCCATCTAGTCCAACTCCCCTGCAGTGAAGAGAGACATCCGCAGCTACCTCAGGTTGCCCAGGGCCTGGTTCAGCCTTGCTTTGAAAGCCTCCAGGGATAGGGCATCCACCACAACTCTGGGCAACCTGTGCTGGTGCCTCACTACCCTCACTGTAAAAGGTTTTTCCTTGTGTCTAACCCAAATCTTCCCTCTTTGAGCTTTGAAGCCATTTCCCCATGTTCTGCCACTACAGACCCTGCTAAAGAGTCTGTCTCCTTCTTTCCTGTCGTACCTCTTTAAATACTGAAAGGCTGCTCTCAGGTCACCTCCAAGCTTTCTCTTCTTATTGAAATAAATAAATAAAAAGCGCTACCAATGTAATTCTTAAGGTAAATATTGCTTTAGATAGCTTTATCCAAAGCATAGGTTTTGAGATGGTTTATAGCTTTCTCTCTGCTTTGTTTATTGGCTTCTTCTGGGAAATGTTTGCTAAGTGAAGTGTTTTCATAGGAGGAAAAACAAAGCAAAACAATTGATGAAATGAGTACTAGAGCTTACTTCTCTGAGCAATTTCAGTGAGTTCCTTTTGTACCTCCTCCTTGAAATTTCCCAGCCTAAATGTTTTCAAGTTTTTACGGATTTTAATTATTATAAAAGGCAAAAGAAGTTAACCAGCTACAGAGTTCTTATGGAGTGGAATGCATCATTGTATTTTTGTATGTCTTTAATTTGTCCTGTTAAGAAAATGGATTGTTCATGTATCAGTTGTGCTGGGTATGGGCAATTTCTGTAGCTGATGCTTGTAAGATGGCCCTTTTCTATTGTTTAACATTGTAATGTGACTGGCTCTAACTTAGAAAAAGCATTCCTAAACAACATCAAATAGATGGCCATTTGCTCTGTACATGTCAGTGTACATCTTTGTAGTACAAAAGCAGTACAAGTTTACCTGCTACATTTCTCTTCATTTTGATTTCTAAAGTCAAACTTTCTTGTTTGTTTCTTTGTGTTTCTAAATGCTTTCCACAGGTAATCTTAGCTGTGTTAGTCTTGATGAGCTGGCAGATTGGAGTGCCTGTCATTTGTAGCTTAGCCCCTTGCAGACAATGGTGATGAGATGCTGATAAATTGGTCTGTTACAGTGCATCCTTGAGACTTCAGCAAGGTGGAGAAGAAGGAGTCAGGATTGCTGCTGTTTTGAGGGGTTGCCTGTGACTCATTTTGGAAGCACGGAGTGCTTAATAGCTCTCTGTTTTCCGTTGATTTTTGTTGTTGCTGTTGTTTATGCTATGTGACTTCAATAATTCCTTTTGTCATGCCATTGTTATTGACACAAAGGCAGCTGTTTGCTTTTATTTGATAAAATCAGTGATGGCTGGATCCTCGTTGTGGAAAATATACTTGCATTATATGGATGTTTCATCCATACGTGCTAGAATGACTTAGTAGCTTATGCACCATCCTGATCAGTTTATATCGTCCATTGCTGAATGCTTTCATTTCACCATTTAAACTCAGAACTGTTAATGCAGAATGTTCTGTTGCATGAATGTTGTTGGAGATGTACAAGCTAAAGGAAAATAGAGAAAAATAGCATATGGTAAATGCCTCTTTATGTACAGTGTTGGTATATGGGATTTTGAGTTGGTTGTGTTGGTTCCCAGACAGAGTTCCAGAGCAGCAATTGGAGGCTTTCATAGCTACTGGAAAGCAAAACACTGCTTTTCATCAAGCTTGGATGTTTGCTTTGAGCAATAATCATGTTCATCTCCTGGCTGTTGGAATCAGAGCTTCTGTTACGTGTGTAGTTGTATTCCTAATTAAAAAAAGAAAAAAGTTCATTATGGAATTGCTGTGTTCCACTGAGAGTGGTAGCAATGCCTACCTTAATTAATATGCATCTTATACTTTTGGGTTTTGGAGCCAGATTACTGTGATTGACTTCTGATAATAATTACAAAGTAATTAACTTACGCTTGGAAATACTTCTTGATATTAGATGCCAGTAGCAAGTCAACCTTTTTTTTTTTATTCACTGAATATTTAACTTAGCACAAGAGTGTGATGTGATAACAGGCAAACAAAAGTAGAGGTCATGTTGGTTTTTTTAATGTGTGTGTGTGGTGTTTTTTTTTTTCAGAGAAGCGTATGTCCTACAAAATTTATTTGCACAAGGCTGTGTTTTGCAGCCAGAGTAGAAGGTTAGCACTTTACATACACACAGGCTTCTTTCCTCTCTCTTATTTGTACATCACCCATTTCAGGGCCTGCCTAGGGGTTTGGTTGTTGCAATTCCTTTTAGCTTAACTTTTTGTCAGTACGATATTTCAGCTTTCATCTGTGCTCCCTTCTGAGTAAGACTTCTTATGAATCAATCAGGTTGAAAGGTACATGAAAGGTGCCTGTTGTTTTCTCTGTTTCTCTTCATAGTTCTTTATTTTTTCTCTGTGCCTCAGGAGAAATTATAATACAGGTTAAGATTTGCAAAGCTGACACTTGTCCTGTCTCCTGGGATGTCAGATAGCTATTTTTTTGCCGGCCCGAAGCTGTTAAATGGAATTTGAGTGGTTTTTTTTGTTTGGGATTTTTTATTTTTTTTTAATTACTAAGTTCTACATGTTCTGTAGTTTTTGTTAGCTGGAAGTCAGTGGGCTGCAGATATCCCATACATTCAAAACTGTTGATGCTGCAGTTTTCCTGATGTGGCTGCATCAATCGAATAGAATAACATCCCAAACAGAATCCTGGCTGTGCTAAGGTATAATTACTGATTTTCAGTATAATAGACAGTCTCACACATAAGGCTCTGTGCCAGGCTATGAAAAATTAAGCTCATGGTTCCACTCTGTAGGGGCCAAGGAGAAGAGGGGAGTGCACATTGTCACCTTCCTGTCTGTTGTGCGGCTGGTCCCAAGAGACGTGCAGGGGGTTTGGGCTCCCAGGTGCAATTGCATATTCTGGGATTTATTTTTCAGTTTTGTGCATTCTGTTTTGTTAAGTTAGTTCCTTAATCTAGAGTGTGTTGTCTTCACTTTTTAAAATCACTTCACTTTGGTGTGAAACAGTAGAGATGCATAATTTACCTTCAGCTGCAGATAGAGACAAATAACAGACAGCTACTCAGTGACATCCAGAACATACTTATTCTTGTAAGTATCCAAGAAATTAAGCAATATAATTGAAATTTCACAGGAAGCGCTGAAGGATTTCATATTTCACGGTTTTAAAACAAAATGTTCAATTAAAGCAGTTTAAATGCATTTTTAAAGCAATTAAAAATATGTTTCTATGGACACGGTTGTATCAACAAAGCCCACTTACATTTAAACTGATTTATATGACCACGAAAGGAGTCTGTCAGCATGAGTTATTAAAAAATATGATTTAATGTAACCAGTCTGTGCTGTCAAACTTGACTGAAGTGCAGTTTTGTGTCTTTTTTAATGCTTATTAATCTATACCAGTAGGTGATCTGGCATTAGCAGCTGTGAAATTGTGTCTTGATACAGCA